CAGTTTCTTTACTGATGGCAAGTGCTTTGTCAAAATGTTTTTTAGCTCGCAGATTTTTACGAAGTGATAAAAACGCCAATCCAAGGTGATAGTGATGTGTTCCTTCTCCATTCTGGTCACCAATTTCTGTTGCAATGGCAAGAGCTTTCTCATGATATTCTTTGGCCTTCTGATATTCACCGAGGGATTGAAACCCACTTCCAAGGTTCCCATAACCTGCTGCTATTTTTTGCCTGTCGCCAATTTCTGTTGAAATGGCAAGAGCTCTCTCGTGAAATTCTTTGGCCTTCTGATAATTACCAAGTAAATGAAACACAACTCCAAGGCTCCCGTAATGTGTTCCTTCTGCTTCCTTGTGACCAATTTCTGTTGCGATGGCAAGAGCTCTCTCCGTATATTCTTTAGCCTTCTGATAGTCGCCAAGTGATTGAAACAGAACTCCGAGACCCCCGTAACTTGCACTTTTTCTTTCCCTGCTGCCAATTTCTTTTGCAATGGTAAGAGCTCTCACGTGATAAACTTTGGCCTTCTGATATTCACCAAGTGATCGAAACACAGCTCCAAGATTCCCGTAACTTGCACTTTCTCCTTTCCTGTCGCCAATTTCTGTTACAATGGCAAGAGCTTTCTCGTGATATTCTTTGGCCTTCTGATATTCACCGAGGGATTGAAACCCAATTCCAATGCTATCGTAACATCTTCCTTCTCCTTGCCTGTCGCCAATTTCTTTTGCAATGATAAGAGCTTTCTCGTGATATTCTTTGGCCATCTGATAATCACCGAGGGATTGAAACGCAACTCCAATTTTCCTGTAACATATTCCTTCTCCTTGCCTGTTGCCAATTTTTGTTGCAATGGCAAGAGATTTCGCGTGATATCATCTTTGGCCTTCTGATATTCACCGAGTGAATATAACACACACCCAAGGTTAGCGTAACCATTACTTTCTTCTTGCCTGTCGCCAATTTCTTTTGCGATGGTGAGAGCTTTCTCGTAATGTTCTTGGACCTTCCGATATTTAGTGAGTGATCGAAACAGATCTGCAAGGCACCTATAACAACTTACTTCTCCTCGCCTGTCCCCAATTTCTGTTGCGATGGCAAGAGCTTTCTCGTGATATTCTTTGGCTTTCTGATATTCACCGTTTGACTGAGTGATGCTTCCTAGCCCCTGATAAGCCGTAGCTTCTGTTCCTCTGGCGCCAATCGTTGTTGTGATTGCAACTGTGCTTTCATATAGTATTTTAGCCTCTGAAAGCCTACCAGTTCCTTAATAATTCTTTCCCAGTTTTATCATCAATAACCCAGCAATTTGGAATCTTACAAGAAGTTCGATGGTGTATCTTGCTGCGTTTTTGTAATCAGATTTCACCTCAGAGACATTAAAGCTATCAATGCCAGAGTCTAAATTGTTGAGTAAAATTAAACATTCACCGCACACTTCTGTTGCTTGTATGCCACGATCAGTGTTCAAAAGAAATATGGCGATATCCAAGCCTATCCTGATTTTGAATAGGATTTCACGCGAGTTATTCATCTCTCTTTTGTGTTTAACAGATTGGCTCCTGATATGAAACAAAAAATAGAAAAACATATAGGATACCTTAATATCTAAAATAGGTAATAACTATTACAACACTTCTCTCTGCTGCCGCATGTTTTAAGGGAGATTGCAGTCGGTGTCGGATCCAGACTCTGAGCTGAGGGGGGCTGGGGTAGTTTCTTTTGAGTGTGTAAAACCTGCCGGCTTTTCAGTCTTCCTTCTGCTATTTTTTTTTTCCAAAATAAGGGGGGCCCCTCCCTTAGATTCGCCACTGGATTGTATCCTTTCCACAAATCAGTAAACAAGCGTTTATTAAAGTGCGACATTCCTTTTTTCTTTTAACTGACCCAAACCCTAAGCAGTCCTGGTCAATTCTACTCTTAAAAGATGCAATAACATTCACATTTTGTGACCGAACATATACAATAGGTTTCTTCAACCATAATCCTCCTTTCAACGCTTGATTCAATTAAAAACTTAAATGAGCGACCTGAATTTTTTTTCATGAGGGGCAGAATTACCAAAAAAGCAATTATTATCCAATCCTTTGATTAAGAATGTCTTACTACGTCTAACTCTGAAGAGCTTTGGATAGCTTTTGATAACATTGAGACTTCTTTAGAGTTGAGGCTAACAGCGCACTAGATACTCAGCAGTAAACCGTTTTGGCATGTACGAACATTGAAAGCGCAAATAGGCAGCGTTTTGCAGCGTACGATGATAAACAACTTGAATAAATAAAGATAAACTATACCGGCAACTTGCAGCTTGACATTATATATTTTTTAACTTTTTAGGAAAAGGGCAAGGTAAAATGGTAAACCAACTGAATACATGTAAAAAGTTCATCTGTGAGTAAGAGAAGTCTTAGGTTAAATTAAGTTTGATTTCATTTTCCCGAAATTATGAAATACGGCTCACCTTCAAAAGCAAACACGTGCAGTGTTTATCATCCTGCTCGTCAGTTTAACCAATGAAACCAGATGTAGGAAATTTAAACTGCAAGAAAAACCTCTGTCAGCGGTGAATGCGAATGAATAATGTTATTACAAAGTAAGGACTTGATCCCGAAAAAACTGAAAATGTCTAAAATCTAAGACTATATCACTACCGTTTTTACACTTTTCTTATAACACACATCGAAAAAGACTGAGGTTCGTGTTTTTATTTCATAACTTTCTGCTCTTAAAATTTGATTTTTTCCCGCCTTTCGCGATCGGATTTAACTCATGTCACTTTCGAAACCGAAACATTATTATGCTCAAGTCTGAACTGATGAAAATACACAAACTGATCATGCAGCTTAATGATGTCAGCATGATAAAATACCAAATTCTCGTAAGTTTTTTTTAAGAAAATGTATGGCAGGGAGAATTACTAATCAGATCTTGACGGTGAACGTTTATAGTGGTGTCAACCGATTTACTTTGCTCAAGGATTTACGTTGATGTCAAACTTTTTAGCGACAAATCCTCCTCACTTTCTGAGATTTATTGAATCGTTCACGCTCCTATCACTGATTTAAACAAGATTCCGTAAATATTTTTCATGTTTTTTAGAAAGGAATACTGAGAGAGTTATTTCAACAGTTTTATTTTAAGCTGCTTTTGTTGATGGTGTGACTAAAGAAACCAAAAGTATGAAACTGAAATAACACCCGTAAAATAAAGATGAATGTGAGTAGCAAGAGTCACCTGGGTGAAAGAGAATACATCCACGTGATTAATGAAGAAAAAACGCAGAAAATCTAAGATTCTGTAGACTACTGCAACACTAATTTTTCATCAGTTTTGCTTTTACTAATAAATCCTCCGTCAGCAAAGTTAATCAAACTTGTGCCAGAAATATGTTAGAATTTAGAAAGAGAGAACATCAATATGCTAGTTTTTCTGTTTTTCGGCTGCTTACCTCATAAAAAAAGGTGACACTCGCCGAGTTTAGTAACCTGATCTTCTGACAAATGAAACCAAAATTAAAAACTCCCTGCAAAACAAAGATGATTGGACGTAGCCAGCGTCATAACAATATTTAACCTGATCGTAAAAATACAACAGTAATCGCCTCTTGAGAAGGCAAAATCGAATTTTTCGTGACCTCTGAGATTGTTTTAAATTCCAAATCCTCTCTCGTAAAAATTTCACTGATGTTTGGTTTGACATATTTAAGTCAGTTCAGAGGAGAGAGAATATTACCCACGTTTTTCATCCTCTTACCTTGCAAAAAAGGAATGATGTCTTTTCCAAAGTTCTGATCGAATGGCAAACGAAATCAAAATCTTGGACCAGAAAAAATTTCCCTGCAAAACAATGATTGATAAATGTAACTCGAGTAAATACAAATTAGAACTCTGATCTGAGTAGAAAATGATGCTAATGGTAAAAATCAATAATCTAAAAAGTAACAGCAAATTGCTAATGTTTGGACAAAGTGCACATCTAAATTTTAAGAGAGTCCTGAAGAAACCAACGGAATACAATTGATGAAAAATTCGTTCTACAAGTTTCCCATAGTTTGGTTAGAAAGATCAAACCAATTTTCGACTCGCCTGTTATAAAACAGATCGGACGAAATGGCGATGCTCCTCTTGATTTCCATCTGGAGCAGAATTGCGCGATTAATACATACAGTGAGCAGAGTAATGGATGCTCGTGTATGTGTAGTACATTTTATGTATATTTTAGAATTTTTTGAATAAGCTACAACGTGAAATAGTGAAGTATTCCATCTGTTTCTGAGATCTGGAATATCGACGAATTTTTTCTTTTGTTTTTCTTTGGAAGTGAACATTCTGTCATTCTTTTGCTGAAGGAAAGCTTGACGCTGCGCGTGAGACCAGCGAATACTTCTTAACATTCGAACAATTTCTCGAAACAATTTTGTAGCGAGAACAACATTTCTTTTTGACGGCTTAGAATCAGCTTGTCTTTCAGACAGACGTTTCCGAAGGAACTATTCTGACCAGCGCTAGATATGTCTTAACCCTGAAGTTAAATATCTACCTATTTGCGGTGTTTGAAAATTATTTTACACGATCTGGTCACGTATACGTTTATCATTTCTCTGCTGTCCTCGAAAGATCACTCTACATAAAGTGTAGGTAAATCTATAAGTGAGGTGTAATGTTTGCCTTTCAACCGTCACGTGCGATTTTGATATTCGCTTTACATTTTTATCATCAAATATGACATGGAAGTTTCATTATTTTAACTGTAGCTTCAACAAATGATAACTTTAAATCAGGTTTTAAAAACGTTATACAAATTGTTTCGAATGCACGACTGTCGAGGAGTTGTCAGCATATGATTTCGACAACATGATCGATGTCGGTGTCATATATTAGACAGATCCGTCGGGCGTTAGCAACGATCGCACTGTGCTTATCTGCCTTGACGTTTAATTTACCACAAGCTAGAGCTCTTACGTATGATGCACGATCCTCGCAGTAGATAGCGCTATTTATGCAATAGCGAAAATCAGACCTGAAAAAAATCAGGCCTGTACGGGACTCGAGCCACTGACCTCTGCGATACTAGTGCAGCGCTCTACCAATTGAGCTAACAAGCCAACTGGGAGCAGGCCGTTAAGTTGATTCGTAATAAACCCGTGAAAGTGATAAATGAGATACAATGAATATATGAAGTTCATATATTTCATAAGAACTTCATAAGAAGAAGTTCATAAGAACTTCATATATTCATTGTATCTCAAGCTAGAGCTCTTGGTGTTTTTTTATGATTTTCCTTCCTCGTAATATTCAAAACTAAAAATATCTATGAAGTTTCATTAAAATTACGTCCTTCCACCGGACTCCATGTACTAATTGGTATACTAATCCCTTGCCTTGATAGTGGACAGATAATACAGCAAATTAATGATAAAACATAGTACTTACCACAATTTGAATTCTGACGTTTTGCGGATTTGTGAAGTAAAACGATGAACTTTCGAAATCAAATCTTCAGCATATTTCTTTTTAGTCCTATCACCAGTGGTATATCCAGGCACATCCCTGAGGTGCCAAAGAAGACGTTCCCCACCCCCCCTCCCTCAGCCTCAATGTCTGG